AACGTCCATTTGCGAGGAAGTATTTTAATTTTGAGGCATTTCGAAAATTGTGTTTTTTTTTTTTATGGATGTTATATGTCATGTACACTACGAAAAACCATGTCATTAATTTTCGTCGGTAGGTTTGCCTGTCGGCAAATCGTTGGCCCGTCTGCACTTTGGAAAGTACTGAAAAAATGCCAAAAATAACGACGAAATGGACTAATTGTATGTACCTGTTTGAAAACAATTTGTAGCAACAACCATTTAGGGAACATGAAGCGAATATTTTCAAAATGATTTGCAATCAGATGAAGTTGGACTTGGGAAGATGCACTAAGAAACTTATGGGTCAAACTGAATTAGGAACTATTTCCAATCGTGAATTCTTTGCTGGAATTTGCATTTTATTTGTGAATTTCTGGGATTCTATTAACACTGCTTTTTAAAACGACTTCCGATTCAAGGAAACAACAGCGTGAAGTGCGGCAATTTGCGAGCAAGTATTTTAATTTTGAGGCATTTCGAAAATTGGATTTTGTTTTTTTGTGGATGTTATATGTCATGTACACTACGAAAAACCATGTCATTAATTTTCGTCTGTAGGTTTGCCTGTCGGTAAATCCTTGGCCCGTCTGCACTTTGGAAAGTACTGAAAAAATGCCAAAAATGACGACGAAATGGACTAATTGTATGTACCTGTTTGACGGACTTGATCCGTTTAATTTCTCTGTTCCAACTTAAACATTCAGCCAACCATGGACAGCTGTTTCATGATCGTTGGCAACTCATTAGCATGGTCTAGGCTTGGTCTCTGGGACAACTCTCATCTATCGAAGATGTAAGGTCTATGGGGCTGTCTTATTTCGATAATGTCTAACTGTGCCGAACATATAATCCTTTATGAACTGATTTCAGCGTTGCGTGGGAAGTGCAGACTCAACCTACTTGATGCCATTTATCCAAAATGTGTTTGCATGATAGAATCCCTTAGATATCTCGATTTTCCCTCACCGCTGGCAATCCACAACGATTCAGAGGCGGCGGAAGCGTCGCCAAATTACAGGTAGCGCTTATCGCGGGTGGCTGTGCCACGGCGGAAGTGACTTACGTCTAGACAAAAGAACATCGACCGCCGTAGTAGAAGGATGGTCATTATTTGTTTGTAATCGTAAAAACTGCCTCCTCAGATAAGATTAGCGGATTTATTGTTATGGGTCTGATGGTCTGGTTGTGCATTTATATGGGGCAGTTTTGTCTAGATGTAGGAGCCGGGATGACGACGAGGAATGCTGCTTTATTTAAATAAGACGTGGTTGTGGCATCTATATTGTTTCCAGGTTGACGCCGTTTATTATTTAATTAATGATGATATCTCTCTAGTTTCATAGTGGTGGCGGTGGCGGATGAGCGAGCTAATAGACAAATCATAATAAAACAAGCCAACTATACTAACTTCTGCCCACTACATATAACATAAAACTCCTGTATCAACATATACCGTAAGAACTATGAACATCTCTAGTGAGACTTAAGACAATTACTCATGACTGTTACTTGACTGAGGAAGCACATGAATACACGTCACATCTACGTACTACAGTTTTTACTGCGTAAAAGGTTATGAAATTGTTGCTTATACTCGTATGTGTTAATATTAGGAGTACGTATACGATAAAATAGGTATTGTCTGTCCACAGGTTTGTTCAACTATAGTCAAATAGCATATCAGGATTGTAGCATGGTACGAACGCAATCTATAAATATTGTTATTAGAAACTGTTAGCAAATTTTAGGTATTGGTAATATTGGTAACCGGAAATGCTTCGGTAAGCAGAGGAATGACCCCAACTAAGCTCTATTTCACGAGTATCTATTACGTTTTGACGTCTACTGAAGTGAACAGCTCATCAGCAAGTGTGTGTATTTGTATTAGTCTGTAACGTTGGCAAAAATGAATCGGGTGTAAATCTGGTAAAACTCAGGACCGTATTCAGGGATGGTGTTCTCATATCTAGATAGTTTTAGTGACTGAGAATTTTGACCATAAAATATACCAAGTATATATAGAAAAATATTTATTAGATAATTATTATAGTACTCTCCGAATTTAGTATAGAAAATTAATTCAAATGATCCCTTTTATATAATTTTGCAATTACATAATTGAATTTGGGGGTCTCAAGAAACACAGCTTGCTGTTATAAAGTTGCCAGCGTTTCAAAAAAAATGTATTATTAATATCTTAGATATCAGTTAGACTCAGTGATGGGCGCATTGTATACGTCATGTATGATACACCATTGTATACGCGTATACAATGGTGAATATATACGTCTCGATAATGATGTATACAATGTATACAAATCATAGTTCAACTACTTGCATACAGTGGTGGCGAAAGTCCCTTTCCTTTTTAGATTTTTATGTGTACGAGAGAGAGAGAGAGAGGGGAGAAGCGGGCACCACTTGTGTAGAAAGAGTGCATCACACACCACGTTGCCTGGCACAACAGTGGTGAAGGCCACAAATACACATTACCAATTTCTGTTGAATTTGTATAGGATCAATTCCGGTACGATCCTGATGGTGCTCCGATTTTAGGTGGAACTGAAACTTCAGGATCACTACAAATTCTATTGGTTTGTCTGTGAAACCAGTTTATAAATAATGAGAAAGGGTATAATTATATAATATTTATTTATACACGTATACAAAGATACAGTTTTAAATAATTAGGAACATTTCTGAAGTAAAATAAAATAAAATACTTTCTGGAAACAAACTCATCGCTGAGTGAAGACAGTCAAATTACCTCACCCTTCGAAATATGTCTTTGAATTTTTAAATAAAATTAACCCTAGCTCATCGATTCTTTGTTCTTTGGGCGTCCAGCCATATTTTATTAAAATTGCCGGTTCACTGTTCACCAACTTTCTCACGTTTGCGAATAAACCTAACCTCACTTATGCTATTCTATACATTAATCAAATTCAAGCGGATAACCAAATGGAAATGGTATTTACCATTTTGGGTTGGTATTTACCAATTCGTTCAAGCGAGTGTAGTTATCAGTTTGGTTATAAGATCCGTGACGTCACGAATCAGCTGTTATATGTCATAGTTATCACGCAAAATTGTGGTATTTACCCAACTCAAGAGTAGCTTATATTTCTGGTTATTATTTGAAATGTGACAAGTTAGAAGTTTTTGCCGGTTATTGGATATTGTTATTGAACTTCAGCTTTATTTTTGAGAAAAATGATACAGGCTGACTTCAGTTTTACCATAAAGTGGAGCACCTTATTAGTTATACTCATTACGGTTGTTGGGGACACTTTAAATGTAGTTCCTATGCTTAACAAAGTATCCTGTGTAGCCATATACCACAAGAATATTAAAATATGGCCCTATAACTCACTAGATGATATCCACCTGTATACGGTTTTGCTAATTTCTTTTTTCATCATTTCTGCTGAATCAATAAATTTTTCTTTGACATGAGGAAAAATTTAGAGAATTGAAAGTTATCATAGCTACAAAGCCATGGTTCCATCATTAAAAAAAATCTGAAAAAAACATTTCTCCCATGAATATTATGAAAGGTTTCTTATTTAAACTTTCCATATACAGTTGTAGATGAAAAAGCACCGATTAAGTGATAATAAAAATAATCAGAGATATATATGCGCTTTTCTAAAATAAACAACTTGCAACAAAACCGCGGTTAAAACCAACGCTTTCAAGCGATTCGTGTAACTGACGTCATCAACCCTTGTGTCATCTTGAACCATATTATAACCGCGGCACATAACACAGAAATTTTGGTTATTCGCTTGGATTTGATTATTGTCTTCATCATTATATACATTGTAGTGATGGGTAATGAATACTTTTGCAAGTATCGAATAGATAACGATACTTTATCTGTAAGTATCCCATACTGAGTATGCAATACCGATACCAAGTATCGGCTCGATTAATTGCCGTTAGTATCCGTTAATTTAATACTGCTAGTGTGAAATAATAATAATAATAATAATCATGTCTTTGGTCTCCTATAAGTAGGTATCATCGAGTATAGAGTAGAAATTAGAAATGACTGATGAGTAGTGATGACTGATGAGCGATACCCGGAATTTTAAATTACATTTCTATATTTGCTATTGTTACAATATTGGTTAAAAATAAAATAAATTCTGGGCTTTTGTAACCAGAAATTAATTTCAGCCTTTTGCTTCAGTTAAGTGTTAGAAATCAAAATGAAACAGTTTAATTCCCAAAAGTTCGCCCAATTGACATCCGAAACGTGCAACAACCTAAAAATCGTATTCAAATTACCAATCTCGTAAGACTGCCTTAGTATTTTATCCTTTCGGTTCACAATACCTAAGATCGAACATCTACAAAACGTGACGGTAGACATCAACATCCTTATCTTAACGAGTTCTGGGAATCCCACGTGTCGGCCTCGACGTTGCGTTGAGAAGAACTGCTGGGTTATGTCATATCAAATAGTATAGCTTACATATTTAGATAAGTTTCGAAGTGCTTAGTGTATTATATAATATATTATCTTTTTCAAAATATAATAAAATATGAGTGATAAAAGAAGAAGTGGTGTTTGGTTGTATTTCAATGCAATTGATTCAAATAAAGCAAAGTGTGACATTTGCAAAAATCTCTTATCCTATAAAGGTGGTGCAACCTGCAATTTGAGTAAACATTTGAAGGCGAAGCATTTTGCGGTAATAACGCAAGATCTTCCGTCTCCTTCGTCTTTAAGAACATCTGCGGAGTTGGAGGAAATACCCGGACCATCAACTTCTTCTACACCTTGGAAGTCAGAAGTCACCCCAGGAAGTTCGGCTTATGACGCCACAAAAAAAATTGATAAGGGCAAAAGACCAATGCCTTTTCCCTCATCAAAACAATCTAAAATATCGACTTTTGCTATGCGGCCAATGTCTATTCCTCGTACTAAGAACCTGCGTATAAAAGTTTTAAACACATTATAAAAGACATGCAGCCATTTACAATTGTTGAAGATGAAGGGTTCAGAGAATTGTTAGAAGAGTTTGATCCTGCTTATAAACTTCCTTCAAGAAAAACTTTGAGCAACATTTTGTTGCCAGAACCATATGATGAGGTTGTTCAGAAAGTAAAGAATTTACTAAAAAATTCGGAGTATTTGACGATTACGACAGATACTTGGACTTCCACAGCTGTTGTGAAAGTTATTTGGCCATAACCGTACATTATTTTTCTGTCACTCTCTGTCTACACTACAGTATGTATAATAGTCAGATTGTCAGTATTTATTACAGTATGCGATACATTTATCAAAAAGTATCGGATACTTCTGACTTCGGAAAGTATCGGATCTTTTGTATCGGATATATACTTTTTGCCCACCACTAATACATTGCATTCATTGTATACGCAATGTATACATTCTATACGCATTGTATACATCGAGACGTAGACAATTAATGTATACGCGCAAACGCCCATCACTGGTTAGACTGGAAGTGATCAATATAACAAACGAAATACTATTACGAGATGTCATTAGTCTGTGTCTAGGTATTTCGAGTTCTGGAAAGGATAGATGATTAACAAAGTCAAAATCTGTTCACCTTATTGTAGGTATTCCTATCTGATCATGATCATTAGAAGGACAGAAAAAATTAATGAAATGAATTAACGTGTTTCATTACGAGAGGAAAAGTCCAAGATTACAAATTTATTACAGGATGTTATACAGGCATTGTGAAGGAAAACAAACCAACGGGAACATACCGCGACAACATTGCCGCACTGCTCTATTAAAACATCACAAAAGCAATGATTGCAAGGCATGCGCGCGTAGTGTGGCAGGCACAGGCAGAGCGATAACCACATATCGTTGGGGGCGAACAATTGGATTAGCCGTTTAACGTCAAGTTTGAGTAATGGCCGGTAACCCTGCCCCCTCTCTGCAGCGGCGGCGTGGAAGCGGCGGGCGGCCGCCTCCGCTTTGCCGCTGCCGCTTGCGCGCCACGGATGCTGATTAAAATGTAATCTAATATTGCCCGGCGGACGGGAGATGTACCACGATTGGCGTGCGGGGTTAAGGGCGATGGGCGCGTATTGAGAGTTAATGGTTCTGAAAAAATAAGCGGATCAGAGAACGAAAACACTGACACTTTCATAAAACAAAGATTTCCTTCTCACAACTTTCTTTGTATATCCTTGGACATCCTTGGACATCCTTGGATGTCCGTGGATACCCTTGGACCCTTTTGAAAATCCTTGGATCCCCTCAAAATGTTCCTCTTGCTTTTTGTCTGTAGATCCTCCGCGTGTGGATCGATTTTCAAAACTTACCGAGTTTGGAAGCGCATAAATAAAAAAATGAGACTACCCTCTCCCACCCCTTATAATCCCCAACAACCAATTTTTAATCACTTTGAATATTTTTCAAAAAATGCTCGCGTGCCTCTGGAACGTCAAAAGACGATTTTTATTTATTTATTTCGTTTTCTGCCCGTAGCTCCTCCGCCACTGGACCGACTTTCAAAAATCATAAGGTTTTTACTCTTTGGCATAGTAGTAACCTTGTGCCAGAGTTTCATCAGGATCCAAGCGGTTATTTCCGAGTTATGGGGTGCCCAACGATCAGCAGCCAGACATGACCAACTGCAGACAGCGCTGTTTTGTACTCATTCGTAACTCATCAGTGCGGTATAGGTCTTAGCTCTAGTGGGAGGGACAGACGAAACGGAAAGCAAACAAGTGAATGTAATCTTTCGAAAAACTCGAAACATTGTGAGCAAATATATAGATGGAAATCATCGTACGGGATGATGATGAAAATCAGCCTGGTAAAACAACTGGTACGTGGCGATCGTCCGATTTCCATCTTCTTGCGCACAATCTTGAATCTTCCACTTAATTTCTTAAGACCAGGTTGTATCTCGACCAGACAAAATCAGAGCATCTACTGAAAATCAATAGAATTAGTAACACTGGGTTACAAAGCTGATAGATTTCCTCAAATCTCATTGGATCACACCAAGACCCCTATTAATGGAAATGAGAGAGTAGCATCACTGAGAAACAGTGGCGCGGTTTTCTCACCGATTCATGAACACTGATAGGATACTCGCTCACAGAGGCACTCACGGGAATGCAGTGCAGAAGTCTCACCGTCTTCCGTCAGTCTATTTGAAGACGAAGGTAACTTTGTGATGGATCGATTAATGATATGAAGAACCTAAGAACATTTATTTTGCCGGAAATTGATATATTCACAAACTTGTTTGACAAATGTCAACATGTGTCAGAATTTAGGATTATTCCCCAGAAAACATCTCCAGAGAGCATCCTATTCTACTTGCCATCTTCTTAAATTGTTTCAGATGTCATTAAATGTCCGATTTGTCTCTAAACGTCGAAACCCTTAAGGATCCCCCACACCGACGCGGTTGCGATTGCGATAATCGCACCGCTGTCCATGCGGTGCTCAGTTTTCAGAGCCGTAAATAACCGATCACACCAGCGTGGTGCTGACGCGGTTCGCATTGCCACGTTTTTCTCGAATGTCCACAACGGAGAAATTAATTGAACATGTTGAGAAGTACCCAATATTCTACGATTTAAATCACGAGGACTATGCAACTTGCAGGAAAAAGGAACAAGTGTGGGATTAGACTGGAACTTTTCTATATCAACTCTAATAAAATTTAAGATTTCATCAAAACAATCGAGAGTCATTCGAAAGTGTAAAAACGTTGTCGATCTCTAAGTAATTCGGGCATTAAAGTATGATATTCTCCATATATCCTTTATGTTTATTGATATCATGTATCCAATAGGC